AAATAAAATCCAAGAAAGAAATAATAAATAACAAGTTTGAAGGGATATGTACATAACACGACAGGGAAATGATAAATTTTGATTATTGAGAGTTAGGATTAAATCAATTTGAAAATTTATTATTTCATACAATTTTGGCTGAACACAACGATCGAGCATTTACGTTAAAATTTTGTTTTGGTGGCATTATTTGGAAGATTATATGAATTGCTAAATTTTGAATGTGAAATCTTCGTGGTAAACTTTTAGCAGAGTGATCTTTGTTTTATTTTTAATTGTGTGTTAGAATTGTTGAATTGTTTTATTTACAGATTTATCTATACTGTAAATCCATTGGAAATAACAACAATGGAGAGTAAAAGAAGATGAAAATGAAAACACCAAATAGAACGGTTTTGCAAGACTTGAACACGTAGATGAATGTTGTCATCAAACGATATTTGTCTCCTCTTCAAATGCTTTTAAGGATTCAAATGGCAAATAATTTGAAGGATTAATCAATATGGACAATATGAAAACTTGAAAGTGAGTATAGGAATTTGATAATCACTTTGATTATAATGGCTTGTATGTAATGTTTTTTTTTATAGGGAAAACTATCACTTATTTATAGTTTTCCATCACCACATCTTGAAATAGTCTTAACCATCATAAAAAGATGGAACTTTTCATCCAAAATGCACTAGAATTCAAGTTGCAAAATAAGCCTAACAGCTTGTTTTTATGCCCATGCGATCGCATGGGCATATCCCACATATCCCATGCTAGCATGGCTAGAGGCAAAAAGGCTCAGTTTCCGCAGGTAAGGCCCATGCGATCGCATGGGCAACACAATTGCCTCTGATTTTGTGTATCCAGTATCCACCATTCCTTTTAACATTTTGACCCAATTAAGGCCCAAAATCAAATTCATCATTTTGAACAATAGATCCAACAATCTCCACTAGTTCAAAATCTATATAAATCACATACTTAAAATATCAACTTTGTGCATAAGGATTAGATATCTTTCGTTTTGAATTTAACCATAGTGTAAATCTTACAAAATACTATCGAAATTCCAGGTAGCATGATAGTTTTGAACCAATTATTCCTTGAGACAACACCGATGAATTACACACAAGTGTTATATTTTTACAAGTTTCTCAAACTCGCTTAGTGCTATTATGGCCTTACATTTATCATGTTAATTGAACTTTTAGGAGAAAAACTTCAACTCTCTATTGAGGCAGCACCACCTCGAAGTTCATATAGATGAAGTTCTTCCAATATCTTTGTTACTTTTTAGAGATTCTTGTATCCCGTAATAAACTTCACTAAGAGTTTTTAAACTCATCTTTCGAACTGAAACAATCAACGCTATTTATCAAGGATAGGTTTTAAATAGGTTAATAGCGATGAAAGTTATCCACTTATCGAATGACTTGTTATTATTCTTTGAACCTAGATATACTTATTTAGTATATTTTTGTAGGGTTACTATCATTGATGGATTTTTAATCAAGGAGTTTCAACAACATCCTTCTTGATGTTGATTTTACTAACTCTATTGTAAGAGGTTTTAGTCAATGAATCATCTAAATTCTCACTAGACTAAATATATATAAGATAAATTATTCCATGTTTGATTAATTTTCTCACATACGCATGTCTTAGACTCATATGTCTAGACTTTCTATTATATAATTTGTTATATGCTAACATGTGACTTAACTATCACACAAGATAGGTATCAAGATAGGGACAAATTCTTCTTCTAGATCTTATTCAATAAGTAATTTCGGATCGAGACAATATTTCAAAACCCTCTATAAACAATCAAGAGATTGTTCCAAAAGAACAAACTCAACAAAATTAAGAACAAATGTCATTAAGGAAATCCACTAGAGAAATGAGAAATGCAATTTCAAATGACTTTATAGTATTTTTCTAAGAACATGAAGATGACATTGGATTGATGGAAGAAGATCCTATTAACATTCATCAAGTAATGCAAAGTAATAATTTCCAAAAGTTGATTGATACCATGGATGAGGAAATAAAGTCCATAAAAAACAATGACGTTTGGAAACTTGTCTCATTGCCTGAAGGTACGAAACTTACTTATTTCAAATAGATATATAAAATCAAGAGAGATTTGAAGGGTAGTGTGGAAATATATAAAACTCGTCTTATTGCAAAGGGCTTTACTCAAAGGAAAGACATCGATTACAAAGAAACTTTCTCTCTAGTTTCAACGGAAGACTCTTGCAGAATCATAATGGCACTTGTAGCACATTTTGACCTTGAACTACATCATATGGATGCAAAAATGACATTTTTCAATTGTGACATTGATAAGATGATATATATGGTGCAATCGAAAAATTTTGTATCAGGAGACTCAAAGAAAATAGTTTGCAAATTAAAAAAATCTATCTATGAGTTTAAACAGGCTTCCCATAAATGGTATCACAAATTTTATCAAATAATCATCTCGTTTGGATTTCAAATGAATATGGTTGATGATTTTGTATACCACATTTTCAGTGGGAGTAAGTATATTTTTATGCTATTGTATGTCGATGACATACTGCTTACCGTAATAATAAAGGCTTATTATACAAAACCAAGAGATTTCTATGAAAGAATTTTGAGATGAAAGATTTTGGTTACACCTCTTTTGTATAAAGGATTCAGATATATCGGGATTGCTCTCGGGGTATTCTTGAATTATAACAAAAGAGCTATATCAATACGGTACTTAAGAGATTTGGGATGTAGGATTGTAAACCAGGTAATACCTCTGTTGATAAGGGAGACAAGTTTAATCTCAATCAATACCCTAAGAACGACCTTGAAGTAAAGGAGATGTAGAAAGTTTCCTATGCTTAAGCAATTGGGAGTTTAATGTATGCTCAGATATGCACACGTCCGAATATAGTATTCATTGTTGTAATGCTAGGTAAAAATTTAACTAACCCTGTGATAAATCATTGGAAGGCAGCCAAGCGGGTTATGTTGTATTTACTGATAGATTTACATGCTCACATACAGGAAATCAAACTAATTGAAGATCGTTGGTTATGTTGATTTTGATTTTGTTGGATGTCAAGACAGTATAAGATCCACATGAGTTATGTTTTCCTACTGACTGGAGGAGTTATATCCTGGAAGAATGCTAAGTAGACACTCATAGCTTCTTTAACAATGGCGGCAGAGTTTGTAGCGTGTTATAAAGTATCTAATCATAGAATATGGCTGTGAAATTTTGTCGCTGGCCTACGGATTATACATGAAATTGAAAGACCACTTAAGCTACTTTGTGATAATAAGTCGGCAGTCTTGTATTCAAATAACAATAGGAGTTCATCAAAGTCTAAATTTATAGACATCAAATCCCTAGTTGTTAAAGAAATAGTTCAGAATGGTCAGGTTACTATTGAACATATTGGGACAAACTCCATGACAGCAGATTCATTCACTAAAGGTCTACCACCCAAGGTCTTTCATGAACACACCGCTCACATGGGTGTTGTAAATTTTAATGATATGCTAGTTTAGTAGATGTTGTCTTTTTGACACACGATTTTTGATTGTACACATTCAGGTCTATTTCAATTCATTTTAGTAATAAAGTATTCAATTTAATTCACTTTTTTTTTTACTCTGATTAAAGTTTGTTTTTTGTTTAATCTCATAATGTATTAAATAATAAAGTAAGATCAGTTGGAAATAGATATGTTTGGATCACATTGCTTGTAATTTCTATGCTACACATTCACTTGATCTATGTCATTTGATTGTGTTGATATACGTGATCATTGATGGTTTAGTTATGATACTTGTAACGAAAATCGCTTTGATTCTATATTAACATAATTGAATGGTGAGATTGTTTGAAAATGTTTTTGGTTATGATAGCAAAAGTATTGAGCTCATAAGATTACACACATTTATAAGGTAACATATGTCATGTGACCCAAGTGGGAGATTGTTGAAAAATTATTTAATTTGCTAGGTGGACCAACATATAAAATTAATTGTGTATAAAAGGTCATCCTAAAATTAAGCTCAAAATTAAAATGATATATAAAAGAATTAAATAATTGGGCTTTGGGTATCTAAATAAAGTGTGGGTCAAATTATGTGTAGAGATCGGATCCATTAGGGTTTGTATTTGACGATTGACCGAATACATATATAAACTATATATAGGGTTACGGTCTCAATTCATATGTAATTTTCTCATTCTTTGTGACATCTCATCAGCACAAGAACTAATAGAGAAAACATATTGAAGATGAAGATCCAAAACCCACAATCAAGAATCAAGAATTATAATTAAGAAGAAGGATTTGAGCAATTAAATTGAAAAACTAGAAATCAAGATTCAAGATTCATTATTTAAGATACAAATCAATGGATCAATGTATGGTCCACATTAATTAATTTTATTTCTGATTTGACGTGGAGTTTGTGACAATTCATAATATTTTATAATTAAGTTTATAAAATTTCAACACCATATTCTTTCATTAATTGTATACAGTCAATGAAAATCAACATTATACATAATTTTAGTTCTATTCCTGCATTATAATAGTCACTTTTATGCTTCCCTTGTGATCAACTCGCAAGACGATCATTAATGTTTTGTCATCAAGTAAATACGCGTTTTTGTTAGCTGTGATAATTCGATTAAGATATGATTAACTATATGCGTCGTAGGTTGCAATATGAAAGTCTTGTTCATAAGAAATCACGCACTCAATTTCTACGCAACCCTCACTATCATATAGTCCATCAAATTTCTTGGCCTCTTCATTGCCGTCGACATCTATATTCTTACCTTGTAATCTCGACATTTCCAAGATTAATACGTGTGTGTCGGGAGGGATAATTAGTCTCTCTCTCTCTCTCTATATATATATATATATAGGCTTTAATTCTGAAAGGTTAATGTATACAAATAATTAATAAAGCATTAGAAGGGAATTAGCAGTACAAAGAAAGGCGTAATGGCAAGCAAGGCAATAAGAAACGGGGTTCTTAGTCTTAGGATTTTCACTCTCCTTGCCTTGGCTGCTTCCATCGTGCTTATGGCTCTCAACAATTTTGACAATGTCGATGGTTCCAAGACTAACTTCACGGATCTCATTGCTTACAGGTGATCATCAAATTTAAAAATATGTATATATATAAAAGGCTTAAACTTTTAGACGAGATGATTCAATAATTTTCCTCCTTAAAATGTATATCGCAGGTATGTAGTGGCAGCTGCTGGCATAGGATTTGTGTATACGCTGATTCAGATACCATTTGCGATATACAATGTGGTCAAAGAAAAGAGGTTGATACGTAATGGATGGTTACAAGTGTTCGATTTCTATGGAGACAAGGTACTCAAACTCTTCTTACCTGTTAAAAGTTAACGGAACAAAAAGATATATTAGGCTCTTTTTCGGTATGTAAAGTGAAATTTATGTTGTAAATTGGCAATTTAATGGCAGGTAGTAGCATTTTTATTAGCAACAGGAGTTGGTGTTGGTTTTGGTGTTAGTTTTGAGTTGAAGAGGGGTTCTGGCGATAGTAAAAAGTTCTTGAATCGTGGCAATATTTCGACTGGACTTCTATTCGTGGGATTCGTTTACATGGCTTTTCTAAGTATATTTTCATCGATCCGTTTCTCTTCAAGCAAAGGATTTTTCAAATAATAATTTTTTTCTGCAATCTCTTGCTCTTAGGTACATGTAAAGTAACCTCCTCAATAAGGGAATGACCAATTTAAGTAACGGAACATGGGTATATGTAATATCATTGTGTTACCTCTTGTAAGTAACGGACCATGGGTATATGTAATATCATTGTTGTGTTACCTCTGATATAAAGGAATGGCAAAATTCGATTTTTTTAGGTGCATATTACTTTCTTGTATATATCATGCTAAGTTAGCTTATGCAGGGTCAGCCCTAAGAATTTTTGGCCCCCATTTTTGGGGGTTGGAATTTTTTAGAATAGTGATTGATGGGAGAATGTGTGATTAAAAAGTTTTAAATTTGTGTATAATATTATTTTATTTGGTGAATGTGTGATTGAAATGAAGAAAAAGAAAAAATTAATATAATGAAGTTTAATTTAATGAGGCTCAAAAGCGAGCTAAATGGTGCCTGTTTTCCTCCTCTCCTAAATTTTCTTGCTCATGATTAATGTGTTCTTTATCTACTAAGTCTCTCTTTGACATCTATTAAATTAAAATTCTTTTTTTTTTTTGTCAAACTCATATTCAACCACACATTTACAAAATAAAATATTTTGAATGTAAACCTTATGTTGCATTGAGTGAAAGCGATAAATTGTCATCTGACTTACAATTTGTTTTTAAAGCAGTAAATCAAAATTGGAAAACAACTAAACTCTAGAGAACGACTAACTCTAGATAATAAAAAAAAATTATAAAAATTAGGAGTCCTAATACATAATTAAAGACTAAACTAGCTTTGAGCTCCTTTATTTGGCAAATAATGCATTTTTAAATAGTAGATTGATGAAGAATAAATTTGAGTTTGTATGTAATATTATTTTATCGAAGAATATGTAGTCGAAAAGAAGAGAAAAAATGTATTTTGAAAATAATAGGGATCAAACAAAGGATAATTGAAATATAATACATAGATAAAATTGTATAAATTAAATTGAAACCAACCATATTCATCAAAATCCAAAAAACATTTCCTACTTTGTAACCACATATCTCCAAAAAAATCATTATTTCAAAACTCATTTGTCCCCAACAAAAATAATAATATTTTTAATGGCTGTCAAACAAGAGAATATCAAACAAAGGATAATTGAAATATAATATATCGATAAAATTGTATAAATTAAATTGAAACCAACCATAATAATCAAAATCCAAAAAATTTTCTTACTTTTTAACCACAAATCCCCCCAAAAAATCATTATTTCAGAACTAATTTTTCCCCCCCAAAAAAAATAAAAACCATTTTAATGGCCATCAAACAGGGGAATTTCAATGCTCTTTATACGTTATTTTTTTTGTTTTGAAACTTTTAATTTATAAATTATTCATCAACCAAATCTTTAACTGGATTTATTGGAATACGAATCCTTCAAGGAGAATGGAGAAGAGAACCAAAGGAAATAGCAAAACACCAAAAAAAAAAAAAAAAAA